TTAATAAATACGTAAAGACCTCTTTGCAGCCCTATCTTTACAAAAAAGATAATTTGTCCCTAAGCTTTCAATATTCTAAACACAAGTGTATGCATAACATAGTAGCAAAACAATATTAAATAAATAGAAAGGCTAAAAATATTTACCGTGATCTAGTAGTTGACTGGAATCTTGAAGAACAGATGATGCCAAAGGTGACATACCCGATGAACTCATATTCATATCTTTCTGCGCACTTTCCATAATTTGTGTAAAATCTCCCATGCTAGATGACTCATAATCCTCACTGAAAAATAATAAATTAAATAAAAACAATGCCAAAAAATATAATTAATTGAAATATTATTATTTGTATTTAACAATTACTTACTCCATAAAATTAGGTTCAGTCTTTGGTATGAAGGTCATATCAGTAGGTTCAACAAGTGCATTTTCTTCAGGTTTGTTTGCTACTTTAAGTCTTTTCGTTTCAGAATTAGCTGGTGGAGAAACCACGGTCTCTTGGTGCATCATTTTGTAAATTTGATGAACTATTTATAGTTGAAGTGTCATTTTTTTGTTTATCTTGATACATGTATTGTGTTAATGATTCTGATGTATTGTCTTTTTCATTTGTTGCATCTGGTTTTGGATTATCATTCTAGAAAAGCCAAAAGGTAAATGAAAATGAAATTGAGGTATAATTGATGATATTTTATCTCAGTGCAAAAAGTATAAACTCACCGACGATTCATCTTCTGTGAGACCCTTAATTTGCAATAACTCTGCAGTTTTTAGAAAATTTGCTAAATTTTCTTGTCGTACGTTAACTTCCCCTTGGTACATGAACAATAAAATATCGGACATATCACTATAAGCTACCCCTTTTAGTATTATTATAGGATGCTTATCAGGATGAATCTACAAGAAGTAATATATAAAATAATAAACACTATAGGATTTTAAAAATAGAATTTTGTGTCAGTATAAATCAAACCTTGAACATTTGTTTGAAATAAGGACTGCATACTGACAAAACTAATTTATGTGCTTGTAGAAATTTTCCTTCCACAGCAAATGTTACATCAACTAAATCTTCTCCACGTAAAAGGGCATGAAATCCACTAGTCAGGTTAGAATGAAAATTATTCCATTTTAATGAGAATTGTTCGGCGTCCATTTTTATTCACAAACCTTCAGAAGACAAAATTAAATACAAAATGAATATTTTTGTGATTGGATAATATGATTTATATAAAATTCCTATTGTTATTAATCAATTTTATATGATATAAAAAAGTATATACCTATATCTGAGTTACAAATAAAATTAATGCACTGACGTAGCGTTTTGTAATACTCAATTACAAAATAAACGTATACACTTCTTATTTTAGTTAAAACACTAATACGAAAAGCACTTATCTCACATGTTAAACTGTATTCTGAATTAAATCATCACAAATCACAATAATTTTGAAATAATGATTGTCTATTTATAAATAAAACTAATTTTCTACCATGATGCTAAAAACACATTACGTTTTTGTGGTTTTTGTGATAGTAAATACCAACCTTGCAGTACTAACAAAATTATGAACTTGTTCCAACAGACAAAAAGACCGAATGACCAAAAGAGCTTATTTTATATTTTTTAGATTATTTAAAGTAAAGACTTTTATTTAAATCATAGTAATTACATTTATGTCATATTTAGTCACTAAAAATTTAATTACTTCTAGATTAATCTAAAAATCGAAATGTTATTAAGTTTGCAAACAACTTCACGTCTCAAAATGTCGCCCCTCACATGACAAAGGGTGCCAATAGTAGACAGTAGACTGATTAATGTTTTTATTTAAATTCAGAATTTGAATTTACATTTTATTTAATGTGATTAAGTTATAAATATAACAAGAACAATAAGTAACTAATTTACGAAATTGATCATTCAGTTAGTGGCTGTGCCTGAAAACAATAGGACTTGCTTTAAATATTTAATTAATTGGAAAACACCTACATGTCAAATCGTAAGAACAGTCAAAATTATTTATACTCACATATAATGAAGAATTAGACATATCTCATTGTTTTATACCAATATTGACTTACTATTTCAATATTGTTCATGAAAATGAGACGAAGAAGCAACATCATTCCTCGTACTACAAGTGATTTAGTAGCTACATCATTCCTAGCAATTATGATACCCATTATATATTATTTTGAATTGTGGGTAGTTTTACCATCAGTGCATAATCCTGGAACACTTATGCATGGTATACATTTTGCTCTTGGATCATTTTTATTGTACAATGTAACAAGTAACTTTTTGGCTGTAATTCTATGCGATACTAGCCTCAAAGGAGTAATTCTATCTCCTGATGATAGCAAATCTCGAAGATTCTGTGCATCTTGTGAGTGCTTTGCACCACCCAGATCTTGGCACTGTAACATTTGTAAAACTTGTATTCTTAAAAGGGACCATCACTGTGTATTCACAGGCTGCTGTATAGGACATAGGAATCACAGATTCTTTTTTTATTTGGTATTGTATATGTTCATTGCAACATCTTATGCGACATATTACAACACCTTTTTTGTACTAGAACGAGTAAGCTTTAGAAGCTGGTGGGATATCTCAAAAATTATATTTCCATTTGCAATGCTCGCTGTATATCCTTCTGCAGAGCAAATATATTTAGCATTATTTCAATTAACAATAATTGGGCTGGCCTTGACTGCAATCTTGTTTGCATACCATTTCAATCTACTGAAGAATGGAACAGTCGTGTATGAAAGAAAAAGCAGACTGTATGACTTTGGATTTAAAAAGAATTTGCACACCGTTTTTGGTGAACGGTGGTATTTGACATGGATCTCTCCAACTATTGAAAGTTATTTACCTCATGACGGTATTCATTGGGATATCAAAAGTACTAATAAAGGAAAATAAGACAAATTTTGAAAATATATTTAATTAAACTTATGCATGCAGGGTATTACATACAATTGAGTATCAGGGAAACTTTGTTAAAATATACATTTTTCTTACACATTAAGACTATATATCAAATTATTATTAAAATTATATTTTTATATTTATTTACAAATTTTTAATGAAACTTAGAGACAGGGAATAACCACTTCACTATATGTTGCTCAAAAAGAAACATCTTATATATTGACAAAAGAAATTGTAAATAAATTAAAGATTGTGATAGGTCAAACTTAATACAATTGTGGACTATTAATATTTATGTATAAATTCTCTTCAAAATATTTCATTATAAAGTATTTTTATAATACATAAACTTAAAGTTTGTATTTTATTTTGCAAATGTTTTATGAAATATTGCCTAATCATAACTACTTAATGTCACATTAATAAATGTACAATTTATTCTTATATATCGATATAATGAGAAATGCATCTAAAATGATGGTCATATGAATTATCTTATAATTAATGAAATAAGAAGGCTAAGAATATTTATGCGTTTGTGGAAATGAACTTAGCAGACTAGTCAAATGAATGTACAATATTAGTTTTTAATTAGATTTTGCATTTATATAAATGAATTTATAGTTTTTAAGATATATTTTGTATTTACTAAGGTTTTGTAAATTCAAATAAATGTGCATATATATAATTATAAAATTGCAGTATGAATTATATATTTTTCCAGTGATCAATTTTTTTAAATTAGCTTAAGATTAATTACCAAGTTAAGCAAAGTACTCGCGATGAACTGTATAATTTACTTTACTTCATCAATTATATCTTCACCTACTGGAATTAAAAAACAGCTTCTTCCTCACTATTTGAAGGAGGTGCTGTCATCATTCTTGGTCCGGATTGAAAACTTCTTCTTGGTTGCAAAATCATCAGTTCTCTGAGTAACATTGCTTTTTCTCGTTCCAAACTTGTAACAGCTGCACTTTTTCTGCTCACTTCTTCTGTGAGTTGCCTATTTTGTCGTTTCAGCCTTTCCAAAAGTAGTTTTTGTTGTTCTTGTGCTCGCGGTGACTACAATTGTGATAATTTAATATTAGAAAACTAATTGGCAAATATATAATATAGTAAAAATTACCATTTCAATCTGTGATTTCGTCAATTCTAAGTCCATGTGCAGTGGAACTGCTCCTCTTTCCCAAGTTTTAACTAAAGCTTCTAAATGCCGATTTGCTTCCATCACACGAGCCTGCTGCATCTCCAATCGTTCCTGATGCGATTCACTCCATTGTTCCTGATAAAAATAAAATAATCAGGTTTTCTAAACATTTGCCTTAAAATTAGTTCGGCAAGATATAGTTTCCTGAATTACCACTCTAGCTCCTGCCCTCCCCAACCAGCGCATTCCATCCTGGACAGCAGCCACTCTTTCCCTATACCATTCTCTGGCTGCATCGACGGCTTCCAGGCCCCTCAAGAGCAAAGAACGTTCCTGCTCCAATTGCTTAAGGCGTCTTAAGGCAGCATGGTCGATTCCGCTCTGCAAAGTGTGACGACGTGGTTCTCTTCGTTTCCTACCACCTTCTTGGGTATTTTTTATGAAATAGCCAGCAGTGGTAGATGTCTGCAAAAAAGAAACTTGTTAAGGAAAGTTTATTATTATTTACTGCATTGGATTGGAATAATGGAGTGAAGATAATGATGGTGGTTAAAGGATAACCATGAAAGTCTTCGTTTTAAATTCTTTTCAGATTGTTTTGTCGTTAATCATCGTATATTACTTCTGGTGATTATTCTCGTTTATACAATATTCCAACATAAGATTTTGATTCCACAAACACGTTTACCTTACTTTTTCAAGTCAACAAATACATATGGTCGCGACAACAAAACATTAATAACAATACTAAAATAAGAAAAAACAATTTACTGGCGTCTCAGACATCTGTAGATATGTAAATTTAAGAACCGGATACAAAATGACCTTGTTGCATTTATTATGACATCAAGAGACGAACGGTTCCAGGTTTTAGGTCAACGGTTTCTTGCAGGTTTGATATGGTGAGAGATAAATGGCTTAATTTGTCTTTTCTATATATAAAATTATTTACCAAAATTGAACAAGTAAGAACTAACCTGTTGATCTGTTTGTCCATCACCAAGGCCTCTATTTCTCAAAGGATCTTTACTAGCTAATATATCATCACTGGCAAACCCAAAATTATTTTGGCTGTTTGCAGTTACTAACAAACCCTTATGCCAATTGTGTAAAGCGTTGCGTATACCTAGAAAAAGTGAAAATATAACATTTTAGCCATACATGGACAGATAAATGCAACTCGCCTACAGTAAATAAATTTAGCTTTTGAATATACAAATATTTCCACGTCAAATTTTTCCTAACAGTAAGAGAAATCTACTTCACTACCAAAAAGATATACTTGACGACCAACCTATTAAAATAACAATATTGTACTTTTGTTACTTTACTATAATTTATTAAAACTCTCCTTCGATAATTCAGGTTGTTTGGATATAATTTAACCCAATTTAACTCTTCTTTTATCTATGATTTAACCCTTGTAGCTGTGAACTGTATTTGCTGTACACTGATTTGTTCGTATATTTTGTATTTTCTGCAGTTCTAATTACAATCACTAATTTGTTACTAAGTTATAATGAAAGATGATATAATTATTTTTATTGGTTATTTACATGTTGTTAAGCGGACTTTACTTTTTGAAGTGAACAACTAGTTCAATTAAAACACTCCGCTACCCCCTCTACCAGGGGTAGCAACCATTCCGTGTAAAGCTTAATGCCCTGAAGTTTGTCACCTTCATGGCCAATATAATTAAACGAAAAGACGTCCGAACAATATATTACCCCCTCTACCTGCTTTATCCAGTTTCTGCTGATCCTTCTCCGGCCTGATAGGTTGCACCTTGGTTTGGACAACTGCACCAGGTCTGTTATGGATTTGCAATTGAGGTAAACTCAATGCCCTGTGTTGGGCAATGGTGTTCGGCGTTTCCAAAGGTCGAACCATGACGGAAGTAGTCGGGTTTTTCAAAGCGGATGTGGAGTGGTGAGACTGCATACCGCGCCATTGAGATTTGCTGTTGGATTTGTTTATTTTCGAATGATAATGAACTAGGTAGAAACCAGAATTACTATAACAACTTATATATATAAACATGTTATAGTTAAATAAAAGTTGAGACCACCGGTTGAAGATGCAAATTGTGATGCATAAAATCAGCCGATTAACTAAGGAGATAAATAGTACAGAGAAAATGTGTAACGCGATTTACTTAAGAAAATTTTTTAGATTCAGTTAAATTTGTCAACAGAGTTCAAGGTGTCATAAATCCGAGATACCCTAAAACTTCATCTATTTTAATAAAATTTTATTTCGAGTTTATTTTACTTAAAATTTTGCTATTAAAATAAGATGTATGATAAATCTCAAAAGTCTTTTTTAAATGTTAATTTTTATGATATCACAATTTTTTTTATTACGATTTTGCTCTATAGAATTGTAAAAATTTTTGCAATAAGAAGTTTATATAAAAGTTAAAGAATTCACATAAAAATTTACACTGAACAATAACTAGCCGTAAATAATTAAAATTGCAACATTGTTGATGGTTTGTCAGTTTTTCACTAAATTGATTGTCTTTATGTGCTGAAGATGATCCAAAACTTACGTTTTTTCTCTATTTAATAATTATATTGGTATATATTTTAAAAAATGTTATACACTCAAATACTTCACAAAAAGAAGTTTTTCATTATCACAAAAACTATAAAATTGTGAATGTGTTATTCATTGGAGCATTGCTCGTTATTTCTGATTTCTATATAAAAAACTTTATTATGAATTTATATATCGATTTAATTAATTTTTACAAATAATTCTTTAGGTTTATTAACCTCCCGTAGGATAAGTTATTGTAATCGTCAAAAAATCAAAATTGACAATTTTTACATTTCTTCACGTTTTGAAGGTTTCTGAACATTTTGGCATACCTATTAGGAAAAATGGATGTATGTCTGTGTGTGTGTGTAGTTTGTGTGTGTGTGCAGATACAAATTTTCGTCGACGATTTCGGGACCGATTCAACCGATTTGAATAATTCCAAATCATTCGATTCGTATTGATAAGGTGACGTGCTGATTAGTTTTTGGCGACGGTTACATCAGATTTTAAGAGAACGGAGCGTCCGATTTTAATAATTCAAAAAACATTTTATTTGTATTGACAAGATGAAGAACTGAAATAAAATTTGAGAAGGCAGGTCCAGCGTTATGGACTCTCAATGAAAATAAGTTAAAAAAATGTCATTTGGCGGAAAAATGTTTATTGAACATATGTACATCAAATTATCAGATATTTTATAGAGATTTTAATAATGTGTACATATTTTGTGTATTTTTTTTTGGGTTCCGTACCAAGATTTTTAATTACGGTACGAAAATTTCCAGAAATTTGCCTTAAGGTACGATGCCATACACCCCACTAGTTAAATATTATTTCGAATAAGAAAGTTACGTTTTACATACAGTCTTACATAATAAGAAAATTTCTTACGTTCTACATGTTCGGCTGCATGATGAAATAACCAGTACTATATTTATTAAAAATCTCGAAATGCCAATACACAACCTCGGTTATTAAAATTTACCAATCGGTCATTTTAATATCAATTGGGTTTTGCAATATTTTAGTTCCAAAATATTTTGTTTTTATTGCAGCTTTTCAATTAATTAATAGTAATCAACAAAGAAGTTTTTGAGCAAAAGGATATGGTTAGAGAAATCTCTATAACATTCAGATACTGTAGTTTTATTCATCAACCATTTTTTATTAATCTAATTTTTAATTTGTTACTGCCAATCCTAGCCATATCCTTGCCAATTTTTATTTGACACAGTTCAAGAAAACCATCATAATTTAAGGTTGTTCATGCAGATAGTACTATTGATGTGAGTTAATTTAAACCAGGATGGTTTTGCTTTAAAGCAAATTTAGTTAATTTATAAGTGGTTAATTTATAAACCAGCAATCTTCAGATTTTTTCTTTTATAATTAAAAAAAATATTACTACTAATTTCTGATCTAATTACCTTATTGGATCATTCATGTCCAGCAAAGGAGCAGAAGGTGATCTTTGTTTAGGGTGGTCCTGATTTCTATTAGTATGGTCTCCAACTTTTTGCTGTTGCTGCAAAGCTTGGTTCCGTATCAAACAGATTTTGAGGCCTCCACAAAATCTTTCAAAGGACAATTTGCCACTCGGTGGAGTCACTTTTCGGAGACTCTCGATCACTCCTCGAGGTAAACCTTGGCTGACAGCAGCTTCGTCATCTCGCCAACGTCGTTCTATGTCTGCTAAATGGACGTAACTAGAATAAAGAAGTAGAAAAAAAAATAGTTTGTCTAATATTTTTTGGCTACTACATTTTTTTAATCTATATTTATTCTTTTGTCAATCAAGACTTAGAGTCTTATACTACAAAACTGTTAACATAGGTAATAAAAAAAAAAATCATATAAAGTATACAAGATATGTAATAAGTAACAAAAGAAACTAAAGGAAAATAATAAATAAATGAAGTAAACAATAAAAAATATAAATGCTACTACAAAATAAAAAAGATATTACTTATTTAGATAATTTATTAGATCTAAATTTAATTAACATTGCATACTCAACTTTCGATATTTATAAGAACATACATACATATACTTGTTTATCTATGTATAAGAATAAGATGCACATGAAAATTGAAATTACTTTTAAAACAAGTCAAATATTTAGCATTTTTTTATTTATTATTTTTAGCAAAAAAAAAAGACAAAAATAATAAAATATTACAAAGCGGAGAGGGATTCTAATAAGAAATCACCTGTATTTATTTTTGGCTAAATTAAAAAAAAAACACAATTTTAAAAAAAAAAATTGATTTTTTTGGAACTGAAAATAAATGTGATGTTGGCTGGAGGGGGTAGGGTAATTTTAAATATCATGAAGTAACACCAAGAGGGAGTGTTTAAAAGTCTAAATTTTAAATTAAATAAAAAATACAAATTTTCAAGAGTTATAAAAAAAATCTGAACAAAAACTTTGACTGTATCTAATTTCTCTTTTTATTCGCAGTATCTAATTTTATTTTTCATCTGGTTTTAACCTAATTTGGCGTTCTGTACTAATAAACAAGACATTCTTGAATGTATAATTATATATATATATATATATATATATATATATATATATTCATATTTTACATAACTAGAAATATTAAATTAAATCGTATTAGACGTGTAAGTCATAAACATTTACTTCAACTGCAATAAGTTATTTCAATTTATTTTTCCTTGTAATACATATTACGACATAAAATACAAATCTGCAAGAATAACTTTTGAGAAGTTTGAAATTAAATAAGTTTTCAAAATCAGTCAAAATTGAGGATAAAATATAAAACAATTTTTAAAGTATTCGTAAAGGGGCTGTTAATATTAATAATAATAATAATATGCACCGTGTGCTATTTAAAAATTATTTTTAAAAATTAATAATGACCCATGTAGAAATTAATATCGGTACAATATATTACCAATATCGGTTTTCTGTGGCCGTGATTGCCTATATTGCAAAAATATCGGCGAACGTCGGTTCTGTGATGATGTCAACTAATCGATCAGGCCAACGTCAGCCGATATTGAGGCAATAATCTCTATAAATGGCCTTGTCCAATATTGGTCTCAAACTAAAATAGAAATATTGATGCAATATTTTTTATCATCGGCTAATAAATATTGTCCCCAAATAGAAGAATAAATATTGATGCAATATTTTTTTATCATCGACTGATAAATATTGTCCTCAAACTAAAATAGAAATATTGATGCAATATTTTTTATTATCGGCTGATAAATATTGTCCTCAAAATAAAATAGAAATATTGATGCAATATTTTTTTATTATGGGCTGATAAATATTGTCCTCAAACTAAAATATAAATATTGATGCAATATTTTTTTATCATCGGCTACAAAATATTGTTCCCAAAGTGAAATATAAATATTGATGCAATATTTTTTATCATCGGCTGATAAATATAGTTCACAAATTGAAATAAAAATATTGATGCAACATTTTTTATCATCGACTGATAAATATTGTCCACAAATTGAAATGAAATTATTGATGCAACATTTTTTATCATCGGGTACAAAATATTGTCATCAAATTGAAAAATAAATATTTATGCAATATTTTTTATCATAAGCTAATAAATATTGTCCTCAAAATAAAAAATGAATATTGATGCAACATTTTTTATAATTGACTATTAAATATTGTTTGCATGTTAATTAATAATAAATATTGTTTCCTCAAATTCCTCAATCATAATTATTGTTATTATATTTAAAATGAAAAACAAAAATCTTATCTGGGATCGAACCCGAGACATTTCGAAATGTACTATGTTATAAAATATTAAGTTGTAAATATTGATAATAAATTATACTATATTACACAAAAATTATTTTTAAGTAATAATAATGAAGATTCTTTAGCATTTTCGTTTAAAATGGGGGCTAATATGGATTACAATGAAGGATGAAATTATAGGATAAATTAATTATTAGACACTAATTACTTATCTAAAAAAATCGTCTTATTATAAGACCTAAAAAGCTTATTTTCAATAAATTTCTTAATAAAAAGTTGAGCTTATCATTAGACTTTTTAAGTGAATCGAATTGGAACAAAAAAAATTAAATAAAAGAACACCGATGCGTACAATCATTAATTTTAACGGCTTTTGTGACTCATGATTATAAATAGCGAATATTTTATTGAAATGATATATCAATGACCTCACACAACACAAAAAAATCTAATAAAAAAATTACCTAGTTTCTATAAGTACAGTTTAGATAACAATAAAACCAAACAGCAAAAGTAAATAAATCTTATATAGATAGACTCACATTAATTAAATAAAATGAGTCAATTAATTATGAAATTATAACAGTATCTTTGTAGATGCTAAATTCTTTGGGTAATTAATTTTATATAAAATATAAATAACTTTATAAATTAATTGCTAAAACTTTAATAATTCTGCTGAATGGCAAACAAATGTTTTTAAAGTTCAATTATGTAATTTAAACAATTTCTTTTATCAATTGTGAGCAAAAGGGCTAAAATGATTATTATTTAAAAAACACGAAAATTGATATAAACTAAATGAAAAACTAATTTAATAATAAAATATGAAAACTGTTTTTCATAATCTCTCATACCAGACACCTCTGTCTGACTGAGATATGAAAATAATGTATATATGTCAATAAAAAAAAAAATATTATATGATGTAACAATATGATACATAATAAAAAACATCATGAAAAAAATCACAAATATTTAATAACATAAGTTGTATGAGTGACTAAAGATAAAATGATGTAATTTTTAAAGTATTTTGACCATTTTGACTATGAAAATTTTATATATGTACATATTAGGGTGGTCCTTAATATGGACATTTTCGAAAATCCTTGCTCCCAAGGGCTCAAATGGTTCCAAATTGATAAAAAACAATTCTCTGAAAGTTTTAGCTATTAATATTAACTTTTAGATAGTGCGCAATTTTTTTGTAGATTTTTAATTACGACGTTTCAGACCAAGATGCATTCCATCATCTGTTTTTTTTTATTTAAAACCATTTTTTATTAACAAAGAACTATATACCTCTTTTCTAAAAAAAATATGTAGAAAAGTATTAAAAATTTAAAAGCAAAAATTATTTATTTGCAATATTTTCAAAGATTCAAAGATATCTATGGTTTATTAACTTCCCGTAGGGTAAGCTATTGTAATCATCCAAAAATCGAAATTAAAATTTTTACATTTCTTCACGTTTTGAAGGTTTCTGAACATTTTGGCATACTTCAGATAAAATTGATGTATGTGTGTATGTATGGATACAATTTTTCGTCCACGTTTTCGGGCGCCCGGATCAACCGATTTCAATGGATCAAAAAACATTCGATTCCTATTGATAGGGAGATGTGCTGATTAGTTTTTGGCAAAGGCAGGTCCAGCCGTTACGGAGATACGGAGCAAAGAGTGCAGAAAATACAAATTGAGTTTTAAGAGAACGGAGTACCCGATTTAAATGATCTATAGTTTATTCAATTTGTAATGATTGGGAGAAGTGGTGATTAGTTTTTGGCAAAGACAGGTCCAGCTATTTCGAAGATGCAGAGCTAAATGTGCAAAAATGGCAGCTTTTGAGAGAACTAAGCGTCCGATTTGAATAATTCAACTAACTTTCTACTTGTTTTGACAACATAAATGCTTTTGAAAAAAATATTTAAATTTTTTTTCCGAATTTTTTTTCTGTTTTTTTTTTTTAATTCTGGCTAAAGTTTTAAAGCTCACTTGTGTCCTTTAAATAAATAATTTTAACTTTGCAATTCAGTTTATATAATTCTTATAAATATTAGACAATGTTACAATATTTATAATAATCTATTTGAAAAGATTTAATATTACTCGAACATTTCATTACGGTACGGGAAGTTCCAGCAATTTGCCTTAAGGCACGATACACCACTAGTTATATTTAATATTATCCCTTACCCAGTTTTCTGGTCGTCCATAATATCGAACAAAGTCCTCATAGCAGCCACAAATTGTTTCGGCAAACTGTCGACGGTTGTCCCAGTACAACCCTGGTTCAAAATCGGGGGTGTCGAATGCATTTTGTTCAAAAAATAACGAACAACACATCATACAAAAAAACTTTTATGTCCTATCAGAATGTAACTTCACACACGAATCCTTTTCACACATATTGAGAGAAATTCACTTTGAGGAAAATCACTTGGAAGCACTTTAAAATATTTGTACTTGCACAATGGGGTGTTAAATCGTGGATTTTAGTTCACTTTATGTCCTGAATTGCTTTTGTTATATTATTTTTTATTTTGATTTGTTGAGATTGCGTCTACCTGACCGAACGCGCCGGTAAAACAGCAAGCACTGACCCAAGCAAACGTGAGCCGGCCAGGTATACGAGGTTAATGCCTTTTTCACACTTGTCAGGGGTTAATGATACAGAGTTCAAGATTTTTTATATTAAATAAATATTTTTAACTGATAAAAATTCATTGTTAACTTCGTGTTTTTTATACTTTACCCAGTTATGAACTGTTTTTTTATTCACTTTATTTTGCAATCAGTTCATACTACAACATTAAGCATAGATTACTATCAAATATAAGATAAAATATTGATAACTACAAATTAGATAGTATTTATTAGATAGATTCACCCAATGGCGTATCTACTGGAACTACCTCAGATGGTGTATGGCGTCGTGCCTTAAGGGGGTCTTTCTATGTGATGGCCTGTTTTTTAGGGATATTTTAGGATTTTTTTTCTACGACCAGTAAATATTTAGAGCTTCAAGTTTTTTATCATTTATTAACACATATTTGGACAGTATAAATATAAAATTTCAGCTAAAAATATTCAGTCAAACTAGAGTTACAGCGCTCTGAACACCCCCGCCTCGAAAGAAAGAGCTCCCACTTCCTCTACGATTCCGGCTGATCGGCTTATCTGAAAAAAACACAAAATAAATGGCGTTTTATTTTGTAGACTTAAAAGCATGGAATGACCTATAATCAAATGAATATAAAAAAAAAATGGATTTTTGATAGACATTTGAAATAAAAGTTGCAAATTAGGCGTTTTTTTTTGTTCTTTGCTATAAAAAAATCGAAGTTTTGAAAAATCGAAGTTCATTCCATGCGTTTAAATATATTGAGTGTGCCCTGTAAATTTCAAGTAATTCGGTCCAGCCGTTTCTGAGATACAATGGAGGAAAGTTTGAAAAACACAGTCTTTCTTTTACCTGCTGTATCTTTAAAACGACTTGGAATTTTCTAAAATCGCTTTACTACGGTATTCTAGACATGTTAAGGGAGAAATTTATGGAAAAAAAAAATCGATTTTTTCAACCCATCACATAGGAAGACCCCCTTAAAGCAAATTACTGGCTCTTTCTGTACTGTAACGAAAAGTTCGAGAAATACTGCGTGTTTTCAAATAGATTATTATAAATACTGTAACATTGTCTAATATTCATAGGAATTATAAAAACAGAAATACAAAGTGGAAATTTAAACTATATAAGTGAAGTTTAGAACTTTAGCCAGAATTAGAATGGAAACATGTATGTACAAAAAAAATTTTTGTGCAAAACAAAAAAAAGTTGAGATAATTTAACAAGCAGAAAAATTTTGAATCATTCAAATCGGATGCTTAGTTCTCTCAAAAACTGCTATTTTTTGTGTATTTAGCTCTGTATCTTTAAAATGGCTGGCTGCCTTTGCCAAAAACTTTTCATCACTTCTCCCAATCATTACAAATTGAATGTTTTTTGGATCATTCAAATCAGATACTACGTTCTCTCAAAAACTCGATTTCTATTTTCATCAAGAATCGAATGTTTTTTGAATCATTCAAATCGGTTGATCCATGCGCCCGAAAACGTGGACGAAACATTGCGGACACACCTAACATTCACACACATCCATTTTTTCTGATGTATGCCAAAATGTTCAAAAACCTCTGAAACGTAAAGATATGCAAAAATTTTCATTTTCGCTTTTTGACTTATCACTATAACGGGATATTAAAAAAGAAATAGAATATAGCAAAATGAAAGTAATAAAATTAATTATACTTAATTAGATCTTCAGGTAATTTTCGTATTAACCTGGTCGGCTGGCATTCCAAGTTTACTTGATTCGTTAGGATGGATGTCTATTCTGTTTTTGCATTTGAAGATAGCCACTTCTATTTCTCCTTAAATTGTATTTATGCCTCTATCTTTGTGAATAATCTATGTTGGCTATTATAAATATTATATTTAATATTTTTTCTTCTTGTTTGTGTGAAAGAAGCTTGATAAGCGATCAGGTTATACAGTTACTAAAACGTTCACGATATTTTATTTACATGCATATGCATTTGAATGTAAAAGAGCTGTGAATTAGAACGTCCTTGGTTAGGTCGTTTTTTATGTAAACAGCCTGCAATCATTTTATCTAATCGTAGGTCCATGTACCAATTAAACGTAATTCACTTAGGATATCTTTCAAAAAAAAATGTATTAAAAATTTCAGTAAAACTAGTGAAAATCTTATTTTGACATGGTAATACAACTACATACAATTTTAACTTTCAACTTAACCCCATGGACAAAGTATATATGATTTTGGTAGGGTGGACAAAATTCTTAGACTGCATGTAGGGTATTATATTATATTATATAATATATATACATATATATTTGTCTAATATTTCGATGAAAAAAAATTGGCATAGCTATTCAATTTATCCAAAAATGCCATGAGACTTCTGATTCAAATCCCAACGTTTACCCATGAGCAAGCCGAATATCTAAAATAAAAATACAAATATGGTACTTAGAATATCTTAATTTTTATTATAGATTTTGAATATGTATGATAAAACGTACCTCAATTTATAAGAAACCCAATAATAATTTATTGAGCCTAGAGACAGTATTGTTCACATTTAAGCGGGCTAAAACCGGTATTCTTCGTATCGAATTCAAACCTCAATCTAAGCGTCGTTTCAGGTTGCAGGCAGGTCTGCCTGCCAGTTGTAATAATTGCCTATGTAAGAGGCGATAAAACCTGTACGAAAAAAGTCAAAAATAAAATATTAAACAAATATTGACACATTTTGATGAATTTAAGTTCCGATCATCCAAAAAATTTGATTCCACCAGAATCCAATATTTACTAAACTTTATATCACTTCAAATTTTGCGTTGCGCTAAGTTCCAAACTTCAAAATTTTATTTAAAAAATATTTCAAATACAACTATGTATTTAGAGCAGTGATTACCAAAGTGGTTCCCAGAAAACCATGACAACTTTCAAGGGGTCCACACCCACAAAAATGAATTATAGAGATCCACGATTGTGGATATATAGAGTTGATACCATATGGACCTGGTTAATATCTATTTTATTAATATTATGAAGTCGATTAACAAATGTCTTAACTTGGATTAGTATCTTTACTTTAAATGTTTAATACTGAACGTTATTACAAATACAAATTTATAAAGAAAATCGGTATCGGCTAAATAGGATTCCATGGCAAAACCTAAGGGGTCCACGACACAAACAACTTAAGTTTGCAGGTAAAAATGTACGTAAATCCGTGACGAATATTCTTAAGTTATTGAACCCTATGTTGAGAAATAAATATACTTCCTAAATACAATCTCTATACTTGGCTACATTAAGAAAACCAGGATTAAAAACTAGAGAAGTTAAAAAAAAATCGTCTACGTTTTAGTGCACAATCCTAAATTGATTTTAAAAATTCGAAGAATATTGGTTGGGAATCACATTGATTAATTTTGGTAAAGATCATCGAGGTCGTTTCTTTATAATTATTAGTTGACAAAGAAGCTTGGACGATTTTGGCGAAATTTTATGAGATCACGGCCATACTGAACATACTAAAATTTAACGGCCCTCAGAAAAGAGATTTGAATATAAAAATTCATCCAAATTTGAAAAAATAATCTGGTCGAAAAGTCATGTAGCCCTAGTTCAGTTCGGATTTATAGATACCCAGCTGTAAGTCTGTAAATACTTGTATATTGACACCCTAAAGTTATCTCAAAACCTACATATTTTGTGACAACTTTAGGGTGTAATATACAAGTATTTACAGACTTACAGCTGGGTATCTCGAATTCCGAGATTCTTACATAATTTAAGCTTAAATGACTGGACTAATCCATGGTTTATTTTGCTACTTTTTCACCGTATTAAATTTTTCAAATATTCAAAGATATATATCCATAGATTATTTTCTAATTTTTCGCCGTTTTAATTTTTTCAAATATTCAAAGATATATATCCACGGTTTATTTTACTAATTTTGGTTTTTCACTTCAATTTAAATAGCTAAATTCTATTTCGGTTTATTAAGTCAATTATTACACATATGGGGAAGTTCATGCAACTTGCCAAGGTAAAATGCCACTTACAACTAATTTACGAGAAAACGTAGTTACTGGTATAAATTACTTAAATTTATTTTCTTGGAGAGAAAATCAGTTTTTAGTAAAATAACGCTCTTGGTAAACGCATATGTTTTAGGCACATTAAAATACATTATTTTGAATTTGTTGACACAATTTTTTGTGAGTTTGTATTGTTTAATAATGGCACAAATTTTGGTCCAAAACATAAATAATAAATACCTTTTAATATTTTGATTGATTGTCTTTAATTTTCAACAAATTGCTAACAAGTACTAATATCTTCATAATCGAAAAATCTGAAAAATATAAATATTTATAAGGATATGATTATAAAAAATATTTGTATATCTGATGTGTTAATTTTTTTAATATGCAACATTATATTTACAAAAAAGAGCCTTAATATCCTTTCATATATGTACATCCACCTAAAACTATTATAAACATAACGTAATTCTGCAATTGCCTAATAATTTCATAATATAAACTATGCTCAAAAAATATACAATTTACAATATACATATACAATATACAATATAATATATAGAAATGGAAATTAATAGTATTAACATATCACTTGATAAATCTTTTGGCTAATATTTGCGATTATAGTAATCGCACTGGCTTAAATATATAATATAATTAGTTATCTTTTGATAAAAGATAATAAGTTTTATTTTTTATATAATATTGATTTATTTTATAAATTTTATTAGAAAACATTGAATTGGATTTTTCTAGATAAATATTTCATAAATAAACGATATTTTTTTCAAACGTTGCAACAATTTATATTAATAGACCAATCGAGATATTTTATCAATATTAAATTTTAATACACAACTATAACAAGATATGTTTTTTAATAATTATTTTATTATACAAAAGTTTTAATTTATTAAAATAAAGACCAGATATAGATTCCGCCGGCGTATGAAAATAAAATAAGTATAAGTTTTCTTAATTAGGTACATATAACGCAATATTATTCATATTTTAGACTTTTTATAAATTACGACTATAAATGATGACATTTATAAATACAAATTGTTAAATATATGCAGGTATTTACTTGAATTGCATTTTCATTGGTCGGAATACGCGCTCGTCATTAGTAATTTACGAACAAGTTATTATATTATGTTATATTAATTTTTTTCTACACAAAACACTTATTATCTAATATTATAATTAAATATACGAGTATCATATATATCGGAATATTGGAATATACGCAATATAATAACCTCGGACATAAAGATTTGGCATATTATTGCAAAAAAATTCCATACAAATTTTTATGCGTTCTCTTTTATAGATTTGAAAAAATCTAGAGAGTTTCTATCAAATTTTGAAACAAATTTGATTTTATTATTATTTTTTGGAATTTATCGTATCGTTTCGGCGATTCCATTATTTGTAGAATCAATCTGATGCGAATGAGGCAGAGTACCGTTTGACAGTTGCTTTTGAACTCTCTGTTGGATTTTCTGAAAAAATAAAAAAAAATTAATTAATTTAATCATAACTAACAAAAAAGCACTGTACAAAATTTTGAACCCATCCACACAAATTATTTAAATAAAATATTATATATATACTTTGTTTTGTCAATCTGAATTAGGAACTAAATTGTAGAAGCAATTATAATCTAGATTTCAGTTATATATACCAACCTTATTAAAAAAAATTGAAATTTTGTGAAATTGTTACAAACCCCTGTACTATTGAATTTTTATTAAAAAATGTTACAAATCCCTGTACTATACTTCTTACAGTCTTAATTGATCACTAATAATAACTCTTTATTTGCTGAAACAATTATAATTTAGATTTTAATTTTTAACGAACTCAATTAAAGTTGACTGCAATATATACCAAAAAAAAGCCTGTACATTTTACAAGCCTGTAAATTTTGTTAAAAAGTTACTAACCCCTGCAATAATGATTTTTTTAAATGTTGCAAGCTACTGTACTATGGTTTTTGCAATCTTAATTGGTCATTGTATTTAATTTGTATTAATTCTTCATTTATTGAAGCAATTATAATCTAGATTTTAATTTTAACGAGCTCTATTCAACTTGACTGTAATATATACCAAAAAAGACAAATTTTGTAAGAATGCTTCTAGCTTTTTTTTATAATGTTACAAACCCCTGTGCTATGATTTTTGCAGTCCTAATTAATCATTGTGCCTAATTTGTAATAATTCTTAATTTGTTGAAGCAATTATAATCTAGATTTTAATTTTAACGAACTCAATTCAAATTGAATGTAATATGTACCAAAAAAGCCAAATTTTGCAAAAATGTTTCTAACTCCTGTAATATTTTTTTTAAACGTTACAAATCCCCTTTTTAAATTTCACTAACCCCTATACTATGTTTTTTGCAGTCTTAATTGATCATTGTGTTTAATTTGTTTTATTTTTTGCTTTCTTAATTAATTATTTGTAAAACTCGTACGTTTATTATTTTATAAAATCAAAGCCCAGAATTAGGATTTTCTAACTTATAAGATATAAATATTGTTATACTACTAATACTCTTACATTTAAAATTACTAATTACTCTACATTTACAATTATATTAATAAACACCAATTTACACAATTTGCAATTTTGGTTTAATATGAGTTTTCAAGACTAAAGTAAATATTTTTTAATAATTACTTATACCAAGGTTTTGCCAAAATTTTGTTTCAAATAATTTTGTAACTACCCCATTAACCATAAATAAATAAAAAAATAAATATAAATTTAATAAATATTAGTGTTATCTAATTGTGTGGATGAGCCTATTTTATTTAAAATACTACATGCATTGATGTGAATTATTAGAGTGTGTTTTTATATAATACAAAATGCAAAATATACAATCCTATCTTGACATTTTTATAAAATTTATAATTTTTTTTATAATTATTAATTGATTTTCTATTTAATATACTTTACTGTTTAGTTATATTCTAAATATACTCTACTTTAGCTTTATAAATTATTTTAGGGAAATTTATACTCAAAAGTTGATATACAAAATCTACAACCAAATACCTGCAACGTTAGAATACTAAATATATATATATATATATATATATATATATATATATATAATTTAATGTTATTGTTAGTACTGAAAAGAAAATAATTAGTATATTTCTGAAAGTGAAAAACTTGGATCAATCGTGCAAGGTTCAAATTTATATAATTTTTGTTTTAATAAATAGAGGTTGAAAAATATTCAAAACCTATTTGAAATAGACCTAAAAGTCTGATCTTTTGCCAAAATCAATCAACTTTAATAATAATCACATTAACTCTAAAAAGAATTGATAACTTGTGCCATAAAAGATTAAAGTATAACTTTGTTAAAAAGAAGATGTATAGTTTTCAAAGAAGCAAGAAATAATCCTTCGACTGGATTTTGGTGCTCTGAGAGTTTAATATTAGGATCAAAATCTGTATCAAACTCGAGTTAATTATAATAGATATTATTATTATTATGGGAAGAGAAAAAAAATCTAGGCGATTTATGTAAAAGATGATAGTATGCGAAGAAATTATCATTCCTGTTAGTCAGCAGTGTTTCTCAGGCAAGAAGAGTCCTACGAAGAATCTACAGCCAACATCAACAAATCAACCTTCAAACCATCACCATCATCGATGCTTCATCAAACTTCAAACCACAAACCACGTGCCACAAACCAGTCCTAACTATCCTCATCTTACCCTTTGGATTTCCCTATTCCTTTCGTGCCTTTGCATCAGTTCGACGTCGGTCAGGTACGCTAAACTTTCGCTTTTAACTATCGCAGCTTCTAGCTCTGGAGGCAACTTTGGTCCCCCTGTTGGTTTTTTACTCCTTAAAAGGGATCTTACATTAGTCGTCCAAGGTTGGGGCTGTCCAACCGCTCGCAAAGTCTCCGTGGACGAAGACGCATCTGAAGACCTAGGAGTTTGGTTGGAAGTTCCTTTGGAAGATGACGAGGAGCTGGAAGACACTGGTAACAGAGTCATGGCTCCGCGGGAATCGACATTTAGAAGAGTTATGCAACGTGAAGCGTTTCTTCTAGGACGAGTTCCGTGTAAATTTATGATGGTAGCAGCATCGGAAGCCCGAATGCTATAACCTCTTCTACTTGGTGAACTATACCCTGATGTGCTTTGAGAGTCACAATATCGATGCTTACCCCCAGCGCTAAGTGTCTTCTCACTGTCTGTCGGGGACCCAGAACTTTGTTTTCCGAGTCCATCAACGGGATGGTCTTCTGACGGGGTTTCCAGTTCCTGGATCAACTGCAAGGCAGCTTCCAATTCTCTAGAAAATTCGGCATCGCGAGCAGATGACTTGGAATCGGCAGACGAATCGCTTTGGACTAGCTGGTGCGCATTGCCACCAGTTGGCTGTGGATTTTTGGAGACAAAGGCTGCAGGAGGACTATGCATAACATTCTGAACATGCTGCTGGGTGATTTGCTGCCGTGTGGCATAAATGGCAGCAGGAGAACGACCTCCTCGTGGGGATGGTGTGGCGGCTCGGGAGAAACTGACTAAGGTTCCGTTTACACCAGCTGAAAGAAAATGTGATTTTCAAAATAAACTAATATTTTTTTCATAAGTTTTATTTATCTACCGGTGGTGTGCTGCTGCATAGGTGTAGGAGGTCCTCCCGAGCTTCGGTCTGTGGGAGCAGCTGATAAGGAAGGTGAAGTGTCTTCGTGGCCCCCTTGACACATTCCTCCGCCACCGTCTGATTCAAACACCCAAGATTGAGCATAACTTACGTTGTTTATGTTGTTCGGAGATTTTCGTATCGAATCCGGTTTTGGCTGTAAAAGAAATAAAATAATTTTTACTATTTTCTAAAATCATTAAAACAACCAGTGATCTAATGGGAAAGAAAATCGATATAAAAATGAAGAAAAGCAGTCTATGGTGACTATTTTATCAAAATGATCAGATGTTATAAATAATAATTTATAATTTGGGAACGTTTAAAATGTTATTTAAGTTTATAATTTTTCACTTCATCATCTAATGAATATGATGAATAACCAAATTTTTACATAATTATGATAATTTTGGAATAATGAATATATAATTAAAAGCAGGTTTAAGTATTTGTAACACATGGTATAATCATAATATGAATAAATGTATATAAATAATTCACAACCATTTTAATGCCGTATGAGCATATGACACACATTTATCAAAGTCTAGTTTTCTACAAAAAAATATATTTAAATAATTTCTCTAAAGGTCATCTTGAATTTGGAGATTGTTTTAGATAAAACTTTCAATTTTATTATGGACACACTAAACATATAAAAATTATAAATGGATATAGAACTTAAATACAAATTTTGATAAAATATAACATAAGTTTTATTTATAATTTCACAATCCAGTAATCTTAAACACAACAGTTAGTATCTACCTCGTGTTAACCTTAATTACTGCTTGCAATATAATGCGCTTTATCACAAACTATTTTCCATTTTCCATCAAGAATTAATGATCTTAGTAATCACTAACGGAAAAAATAACAGTGCTAATTAAATCTTGCTCAATTTATCAGAAAAAAAGCTATAGCATTCTGTCATAGACACATACACATAGATAAAATTTCATTTGTTGTAATTTCATAATGGAAAATCAAAAGTTCCATTCCCCATGATTGTAATCGCCAAGTTGAATCAAAAACAATGTGTTTTCTGTGTGAACTGACGACATAATTATCGCCTGTAACATCTCTCCTGACTCTGAGAAATATTCTTACAATCACGAGATGCATTCATAATATACCCTATCTGGTTACAATCATAACTGTGGTTGGAACTCTAACGTTTTATGAACTATTATGTACAGGTTTTGGATGATGGATAAAAATTCTGCCAACGAATCAATGGGATTGTACAGAGATGTCCAATTCGTGATATTGGACATAAATGTCCTGATCAAGTGATGACAAATTAGACAAAATAAGAAAAAAAACCTATTTTCACCCAAAAAGGAGTAAAGAGCTCCATAAAGCTTATATTTATTTCGGCCCAACCAACGTAGTTTTTTTATCTGGCTCTTACTCTAAGATGTATGAAACTGAACTTATTCCTTCTACTTACCCTCGTGATGATGTATTCTGTATCAGTACCCTGATCATGATTTCTGGTCAACAGGTCGGTTCCATCTAATTTCCCATTTTTTCCTTTCAATCTCTTATTTGCAGAGGATGATCCAGAACAACAATGCATGGCGCAGAAGGCAAATTGCGATTCTAAAAATGCTGCCAAAGCTGAAACAGCGGCGGTCAAACTCGTTGTCAGACGGGCTGGAAAGGATAAAAAAAATTGATAGCTTGAAGTTATTAGACAGGCAGTAAAATATTGATGCTGATATCAGTTGACTACATCAAAACATATTCAACCAAAGATTCTTTTATAAAAGTTGGGTAGAGCGAGGCTTGAAGGTTCGCGGGTAAGAAGACTCACCACCATTATCTCAAAAACAAGTAAATTTAGGAATTGTTTAATAACAATATTTGAAAGTAAAGAGCAAAATTTTGCTACTAAGAGAAAAACGGCCACCTTGCCAATTTTGCCAGCTAAAGCATTTTTTTCGTAGAATTTTTATATAACCTCTAGAATATAACGGCTAAAGTGAATCATTTTCCAAATTCTGACTTTCAATTGTCATATGTGGTTTTCGGGCTTGTTTCAGAGGTCCCGGGTTCGATACCCACTTCGAGCAGCCTGTTGTCAGGCAGCAGTGACAACGATTTTCACTTGGAAATATAGATAGCAATATGTTTCCAAGTGAGAATAGCCCTTGCCCGGCATTGCTGCACCAATAAAATGTCAGCCCTATTAGATTAATTCTAATAACAAAAAAATATCAAATATGGAAAGATTAACCATTGGGTTACCATTTAAAAAATTCTAGATAAGGAGAAGTTTCAGCCCAACAGCTCATAGGACGTAAGGTTTTGATTGCTCTTCAAAAATAATAATAAATTAAAAAAAATTTGGTTTTCAACATAACTTAGAATTTTTAAAATCTGTCAAGATATTTCTACGATGTACGATAAGTTCAATAATATCACGACGAAGTAAACATTGGTAAGAATTATTATCATAAATTATCACAAGTGGTAAAAGTGAATAAATCTCCAAGTTCTGGCTTTCGATTTCCATATGTAGTTTTCTACAGTAGTACCTAGTTAAAGAGAACTTAGGGGAAAGGTTAAAAAGTTACTTTCATATATTGGAAATAATACTAGTTTTACATATTCCAACTAGTTATTATAATTTAATTTATTCTCCCATGTCCACATATTTTAATTAATACCGTAAGTGCACAGGATAAAAGATTTCTATTGGAAAAGATTAGAGGTACGAGATAACTACATAATCATTTATATATTATTCTTCAAGAAGTATTATTTTTGTTTAAACCTTTAACAAAATTCAATTACACAATTCTAGAAAATCCCCCAAATTTTTTTTCCTAATTTTGTATAAAGTTCACCCGTCTACTTACCCATGTAAACTGGCGTCTCATCAAATCCGTCTTCTTCTAAAGCCTTCCTGGTTGCTTCAGGAAACAGATGTCTCCATTCGCCCAGTTCCAAAATTAGCAAATTGGCCAAATTTACTGCACAAGTAGCAACTGCCAAATATAGGATCAGCTCGTGTCTCCTGCGTCCTGATGGTCCAGCACACACCAGCATCCCTCCGATGATGCCTCCTAACACGTTCTAAAAAAAAAGGAAAAAAAAAATCATAAATGCTGAACTATATTGGACAACGTGGATTTGGGCTTATTTGTTTAAAATTTTTGTAGATTGTTTATGATTTTTATGATTTCTTCAAGATTTGTACTTGATCTACAAATACAATTTGGTGGATGCCTCATGAGTTTGTTAGGAACATACACAACGTTATACGAACAATTTATTTATTTGTATAATATTATAGAAATTACATAAACTGCAACTTCTTTCGAGTTAATAAGTAAATACAGGATCCCATAAATAATTAGTTAATTGTTATTACTTATCTAATTAAGTTTTTATATTTATCCGGCGGATACCATCCGTTTTATGACCAGTTATATTATTAGTCTTTGGACTAGATCAATATTCTTTCTGCAATTTCTTGATGCTTTTATAAATTTATAGCATGCTAATGCTGATTAAAACAAGTTTTTGCTTCGGTTTTATTATTATCGGACATTTTGAGAAAAATGAAGAAACTGGAAGGATTTATTTAGTGATTGGTTGAATCGAATAATTAAAAGGATGCAGAGATTTATTTAATAAAGGATATTAACAGATCTGAACTTATGAAGTTCAGTTTTTATGTCTATGAAAATATGATGATTTTTATAGAATATTTGCCGATAAAAGGCTAGAACTATGCACATACTGAAGTATTCGAGATTCTCTCTTTTGTCGTATTATAATAATTAGGGATACTTCAAAGATTTTGGAGAGATGATTTTTTAGATGTTGGATATTTTGTAATAAAGAGATAATTGTTTTTTAAGGTGATATATTTGTTTGTTAAAAAAACACTAGAATCTTCACCTGTAAGTTAAAATTGTAATAATTTGCTAAACAATTCGCTAATAATATAATTAGATTGTCTGAATCCAAGTATTGAAACAGATTGTACGTTTTCAAAAATGCATAATTCGATTTTGATGAAACTTGACATACATTGTCACTACACTTTACTAAATATTTGACAAAAATTTAAAGTTGAAACATTCAATAGTTTTTTAGATATGCGAGCTTGATGTGTGACTGGTTCCGCGCCCTGTACTAACATTTAAAGTTTAAATCATTTATAAATATGCCGTGGACCCCCATATTTATTTCGTGTTGTCCGAAATTTTGTTTTCCCTGCCGTGGATCCCCTGAAAGTTGCCATAGACCCCTGGGGGTTCATGTATACCACTTTGAGAATCACTAAAATTTAGAGAATGCTACATTTAGACTAGTGCTCTGCATCGATCAGAAACATGGATTCTAAAAAAGCGTACAAAAAGCTAAATTGAGATTTTAGAGATTTTCATACAGTTATTGTTAAAATGCTTCGTTTGGAATATCCATTTAGTGTAAATTCCAGCAATTTGCCTTAAGGCACGGTGCCATGCACCCCACTAGTTTATTTACATTATTTCTGGTTCGTCTCTGTGAAAAGTTGACAAAGATATTTTACAAACGACAAACGTTAATCTCTTACGATTCATAAACATGTTTCTGACACGAGCACAATGACAGTGCCTGGGACGACCTTGCTAAGGTCGACCGTAACGTGGAGGCAATCGCGCCCGGACGAAAGACTCAACTGTTGCACAATAAGATACCAACTAGACTTACAATTGTTGAAGTCGGATTATTTCGGTTAATTTAATATATATTCGTTAATATCAGCGTTTCTCAAATGTTCTAGTTCTAGAGAATTGGTTTGCTCGAGTTTAACAGAGGACTCTTGTATCTACTTGGTCTTGGACTTCCTAACAGACTTGCCCAACCGCGTGGAACAAAGGGCTATTTTTGCAAAGTCTGGAGAAAGTATATACAGTCAACCCTCCGTTAACACGGCACTCTTGGTACACGGTTCCCATACTACGCTGAGCTAAAAATCCGACATCCCTTCGACTACACGGACTTCCTATTACACGGCTTTTGTTCAACAGCCCATAAGTTCCTTGCGCAACCTATGAGTGATTGTAGTAACTTGATATCAAAAGGGTATTAATGTAAGTTTTGTTATCGATCTTTAAGACATGCCCGATTAAATAATAGCTGTCTAAAAACACGTTTGAGCTGACTACTGCGTCGCGCCAATTTTTGAATAAGGTGCCTATGTCATACATGTCATTTCGTCCGTATTACTCCTACTTCAAGTTGTATTCCTTGGTAACGCACTTACCGCGTTAACCAAGGGTTAACTGTATAATATTTGGAACCACAAAATATCAGTCTTTAATAAATTTATGTGTATTTCTTATAAACCATTGCCTGCTAAGGACTGACGAAAAACAGGGTGTCCTATTTGAGCGCTACTCAGGGGCTCTCCATCAAACACCCGATCGATTTTTAAGGAATTTTTGACCCAAGCATCTCTTTTGTGATACGTTAAGTATTTAAAATTAATTCCCAGGACCCCACGCAGCATCACGTGTATTTTTAGTATTTAGAAACAGTCGTCAAGTTTTTTGGATTTTTTTTTAAATTTTGGATTTTTTTTTCTTAAACTCAGGTAAAATATAATTACGAGTGATATCTTACTAAAACCTTCCACTTCCAAGTAATATTTCTTAATTTTTGTCAAATTCCTCCCCCCTTCCAAGCCTCTCGTATTTAATGGATGTCCCCTTAAATGATCATTCTAAACAACTTAAAATTTTAGGAAATTGAATGAAATCAAAGGATATTAAACTTTTTTCAAAATCGATGATCTTATTTTTCAAATTCAGATTAATTTTTTGAATCTACAAGATATATGCTCTTTAAAACCACAATAGATTAATTTAAGATTTATGAAATTTTATGTTTCTTAAATGTTTGCTCTCTAAGCTGATCAGCTCTATTGAACTAATTTAGTAAAATAGATTATAATTATGGCAGAGCTTACAGAATATAGATATGCCCTTTCGAAACACGAAATATACTTATAAACTTATTGTACTTGTATACTTGTTGTTCATTTAAACAATAATCGCTATGTCAGTAATATGTGTCTGACGTTAAAAAGTCAAACACATTTGTCTAACATATGCAATTTGGTAAGAAGAGACAAAAGTTTTAATATAGGCCATGTCAGTTATATATGTGTGGCATAAAAAATAGTGTTTTACCAGGCAAAATCTATTTTCTGTAGACCATTAAGTTTCTTTGACATATGTTTAATTAAATTATCTAATATAGTTACCATGGCCCATGTGAATTTTTTTTTTTTGATATTATTGTGGCGATTAGCTAATATTTGCGAATTTCTCGTAGCATACATACTAAATAATTTAGAAATATACACAATAAAAACAAAGTTTCTTTTAAAATATTTCATATACAAAATTTAAAAATTAAGATTTCCAGGAACAATTTCAATCGATTTTCAATTTCTCATCGGTTGCGTTATATACTTATCATTAATTTTGTTCCGACACGATTCTCTCCATTGAACTCTTGTGCTCACTTTTATTTTCTTTGCCGAATTTAGGTCGTAAAAATAATATTAATGTCTATAATAAAGGCTAAAAAACACCGCGACATAAAAAAATAATCACCCAAAAAGATATTATGAGAGAGAAGAGAACAAAATAAGGATTGCTGAGGAAGAAAACGTATTTATTTTTGTGGATGGTTGAATTTTTTATAAGCAGTGGCTAATAAAAATAAAATTATGATAAACTTTGTATGCTCATAAAAGTAGATTAACAATCTTATTTAAAAACATCCTTAAATAATGATAATATAATATTTCATATTTTACAAACAAATAGATGCTGATTTAAATTATTTGATATAATACTGCAGTAACAATTTTAATAATGATAATATATTTGTTTTTATCTTTTTAATTTATACTATATATATTTATATTTGTCAAATATATATATTTTAGAAATTTATACCTTTTTTAGAAAATCCTACCTAACTCTATGATCTCTTGATGTTTCAAGTCACTTTAAATCGTTTGAGACCAAAATTGGGGAAAGTAAATTGTAAAGTGTATATGAGTGAGTAAAATAGCAGGAAAGTACAAACATTTTTGTACAACTTTTTTCAAAAAATCCTGAACCTATTTTTCAAACTCAAAAACTATTTTCCTTAAAGCAATATACTTTAATAAAATTATTTAATGTCAATTTTAAAAAAAACATTAGTTATTTATTTTTGCATTAGTGATTTATTCTTCTAATATTATAAAGATGTTCATAATGTAAAATCACAAATGCTGATTAAATTTACTTGTCTTGTATGTATATATTAACAAATATGTTTGTTTCGGTATATGAAGACATTCCCATTAATTATAATCAATTTCATTCTCACGATGTCAAAGTTTGGAGTTGATGAAACGAACGCTGATGAGATAATTATGGAAATAGAGTCGTACGTCAACAGATATATCAGTTTGCTATAAATTACATCAATTATTTATATAATTGACCTTAAGCTAACACACACATATACAAACACACCAAATTCTCGTGTCATGATGTTAGTGGCAATACTCCTTCAAATAGTTTGACCAATTTTTATAAAATTATATAATCACATTCAGTATGACAGAGAATCGGTCAACATCTATTTTTCATACGCCTAACACACTTAATTTTTTTTTTTTTGGTTTTGAACTATTTTTTATTTTACTTGTTACATACAGCCTTAAAATTTCACTCTCCTGCTGCTAGTTCCCTTTGGTAATATTGATTTTAGTAAACAAATAGTTTTTTTTCCCGCTTTCAGTCAATGAATGTCTTTCACTGAATTTCGATTAAGGTTTTCCTAAACTTATGAAGAAGCTTAAAATTAATTTCAAAAATGTTTTAGTATTCCAATCATTCTATTGGTTATCCAGTTCTATGACTTACCATTTTGGCTGTTTGTGAACGTCATTGAATTTCAATCAAAATTTTTCTGAGATTATAGAAAAGCTTAAATTTTTCCGCTTTATCCTCTGAAAATAAATTTAGTTTCATTGAATTATTACCAATAATTTTGGTGTGTGAGCCTAATTCTTCAGTTAGCTCAACTGGCTGCGACACTGCTCTTTCAAAAAAAATCGATCATTCTCTTTCAAAAATGATACTTTTTTAAAACCTTAATGATTTTCTTCAAAATAATTACCTTGCCTCTGTCTTATTTAGCAGTTGTCCCTTATGGCAATTCGCGAAATTAATGTACGTGTGTGTTCCTAAATGTATTTTTTTCGGCAAGAAACATTCACGAGGCGTGGTGAGTCCATATAAAAAACGAGAAGACGATATAAAAACCCATCTTAATACTAACTAACCTGTCATAATGTCCGTAATAAAAATTCTCTTGGGACGTTCGCGTGCGTTGTATGTTTTAAATATAAACCAGTAATTTTCAAACTTAAATAATAATATATATATATATATATATATATATATATATATCAACCTGCAGTGCAATAACTTTAATCACAATACGCTTAAGGTTTGATTTATTACATTTTTTATAACTTTTAATCCGCCATTCAGTATAAAATTAGTTCAAGTGTAGGTGGCATTTCACAATTTGTGTATATAATCGACATAACATATAAGAATTAGGATTTTGAAACTTTGACTATTTTTCCAAACTTTTAATGTTTTAGACCATTACTTCAAAGTTTTCTGAGAAAAATTGGCAAATAGTCTCGTAAAACCTAACTACATATCAAATTTCATCAAATGTTGAATATTGTAATCGGTTCATCTGTTTTTGAGAAAACAGTGAGAAAAAGGTGAATTAGGTATAGTGCTGATACAGACACACATGCTTTTACTAATTTTTCTATCAATCTATTCAGAATGATTTTAAATGTCGAGAAAACGATAATATATTATTAGGTGTTATTACCTGAGAAAATTTAAATCGAAAAGTTTGACGACCGAGGCAACAAAAAACATGCATATACATCAGATGCCTTTTAATGGAGATCATAAGACAGAAACATTCAAACGTGTAATAACAAAAATATACTTATGTAATAAATAAAAAAACATTATTTTTTGGTATCGTTCGTTCAGAGGAATCGTATACAATCTTGTATCTCTGCATGGGTTTGAGATATAGACAGGGCGCCAGCGACTTATATGGATTGCAAACGAAGTAATTAAAGAGTTGAATAAAAAGTTGAAATATATCGGGGGAAGTCTCCGAGTGCCGGACACTTAAGGTTATTTATAAATAAATCAGAAAATATTTTACGAAATGTTTATTAAATCATGACTTATGTTAGATAACAAAGTTAGAAATCAAACTAAATTAACAAAAACGCAAGCTTTGCTAAAAAATAATTAATATTATCATTTAAATTTTGGTAACAAAAAATATGATTTTACAAAGTGGCACCTAGTACCGGACATTACAAAATAACCAGCATTGAACACATACGTAGCCATCTCCACACTCTGGAATGTCTGCACATATGTGTTTGACGAATATTCTTAGATATTGCAAAAAATCACTAATTCTCCACCCTTGCTCTCAGCTGGATCATTCATTATAAGATTTTCATTCTTTGACTAAGAAATACGAAAAATGGAGGTATGTAGTGACCGTTAGCACTCATACAGAACAAATCTAAGTAATTAGAATAAATTACGTCAACTCTCACAAAAAATATCATTATGTTTACTGTCCGGCGCTAAGGGACGACTTAGTGTTCGGTGATAAGGCACAGCCATTTTCGTTCTTTTGGTGGTACCTACTAAAATTGTTTAAAATATCTAATAATATTCTATCATTTTACAGATAACAATCAAGTACTACTTTTATATTTGAATGCCACTCAAATATAAATGCATAAATACATTAGAATTACTTCCATTTATATTTAGGTGACGCCGAGATTTTGTGCCTAAAACAACAAAGGGTTGCTTTCGCCGTGACCGTGTGCGTCACAGATGAGTCTTGGCGCCTGATCCTGCACCAGTGTGCAACCCGCGCCCCTTTCACTTGTATTTTGAAATAAAAAAATTTATACTCGCTTAAATAATACGTGTTAAATAGAGTGTCCGGCGTTAGGTGCCGTCCGCCGTTACGGGACTTTCCCCTATATATATGTAGTCCTTAATATGGATATTTTCGAATTTCTTTGATCCCAAAAGCTCGAAAGCTTCCAAATGGATAAACAATATTTTTTTTAAAGTTTTAGCTCTTAATATTAACTTTTAGATAGTGCGCAATTCAATCAAAGTTTCTTATGGAATTAAAGATATATCGAGGTAACATTGTATTCTGTATATATAAAAGAAAAAATAAATTTCTTACCCAACATCCCGCATAGAGGTTCGATCCTAGTCTGAAGACCGGCAGACTCATAAGATAGAAGACTCCGGCCACGATCTGAAGGGAACCCAGAGCCACGCAGACAACTGTCCAGGGCAGGTGAAGCCATCGCGTGCAGTCGCAAGAGGAACGCGCGCCTGGTCCACGCCCGCTCGGGGTCCTGGTTCCGCACATCAGACCGATTGGAGGTGGAAACTATCTGAAAAAAGAGGAAATGGAGTCATTATTTTCCTGTATTTATTAGTAACAACTAAATATGATACTATCATAGCCGAACGTCCAATTACTATATTGGCATTCGATTCAGACATTATGAGTACTACCAAAAATTTGATGATATTCCATATAGAATAGATTTGACTATTAAAGGACCAACTTTTAAACTTGAAACATCTTTCAATACCATAGACGGAAGAGGAGTACAGCTTTTTAATATACCCCCACTACATGTTAGAAAATTGAATTGAACTTTTAAAAGCCCAAAGTTTCTACGATACTTCTTAGTTTGCCAATTTCGATATCAAACATTATTTTGATAATGAAATGCCTACTGTTAATAATTGATACTTTTTTCCAACAGTTACAATTATATTTTCCCTTTTCCATACTTTTTATAATTTTTATTCTAAATTATTTCAACATTTTTCTATCTTAAGTATTTTATCATAACAATTATTTTCATATTATATATTCTTTTTTGATACTGCTCTTAGTTATTATTTTCCAGATATGGGACTCAAATAAAATGAAAATAAAATTTCAAAATCTACAAGCCTTAAATAAACTATTTGAATTTTATAACATTTTTTTCCTTCAAGTTATTGTATTAGATAATACTAATGTTAAGCTTAATATTGTTTTATAGTTATATTTTACTGTAATTAATTCAATTATGATAATTGAATTAATTACAGTAAAAAATATAAATATTAATAAGCGATAAATTCATTACAGTAATAAATATAAATATTAATAAGTGCGAATATTTAAAAAAAAAACACACTATTCAAACAAATTATATGAGTCTATGGTGTGACTACAAACGTATATAATGTAGTGGTGGTTTATATTTTGATTAGATTTATTTTATTAAATAAACCACAAAATAGATCTAATTATTAATAATATAAATTGCGTATTTCTGAAATAAATTGTTTAAAAAAAATGAGAGAGATGCAATATTTTTATAAGAACGGGGACGGGGGTAAGTCTATACAAAAATATAGAAAACCACTGATTTAAGTCATTCAACGTTAGAAAAACTAAAAATATTTAAGATATGTTAATAAATTTTTTCAAAAGTATTACGGTTTATAAACTTAAAGTGATATGTATTCAAGATCCTGCATTCTGTCGGAAAATTCCAAGAGAGGGTAGATGAAGTATAAAATATTCATAAAATAAAAACAGTATTCTTTAACGTGGGTTGCCTAATTTATGATGTGTATCCAGGAGACGGTAAAGCATTATCATTCTGGAAAAATGATATATATATATATATATATATATATATATATCCATGTAAACCGAGAATATTTATAGGTCAATTTTCAGATAATCCTGCTTTATATTCTCCATCATCGGTTTATCGGAAAATAAAGACTTCTCCTGGTTTATGTACCATAAAGAGTAAAAGCATCTCTAAAAATTTGTAAAGGAATCACAATTTTAACTGGTTATTAAATAAATAAGTTTTATTAGTAAATTTTATAAGTAAGTTTAATCAAATAATAAATTATATTTTATTCAAAATTGATTTATACAAGCACTGAAATTTCTAATATTTTTCTGGTATGAATAGTTGACCTCAATTAGTTTAATTAACCAAGGACTCAATTGAGCTGTTTTAATTGAGCGGCTCTTTCACACAAAATGATGCCATGGTGATTAAAATATATAGAACTAGTTTATGCTATTTGAAAATTGGAAACTCGTATTATTGAGCAAAAATCAAAATTTTGAAATAGATAGGTACAAAAGTACGAAAGTCTCCAGCAAATATCGTAACTTTGAAATAGATAGGTACAAAAGTACAAAAGTCTACAGCAAGTTCTCAAATGTTATCTTATGTATAAAATTCTTTTGTACAGGTGTATGATTTGATACTTTTCCAAAACGGTTATTCGGATTTTCATTAATTCCTTTTAGAGTTTGTCAAAGGAAATTTTTAAGATTTAATGAACGCTAAAACTATAGTAATATATTAGAAATAAATGGCAAAATTTACAAAAAAAAACTTATCATTGTTTGACATTGAAAACATTCGAACAGTCATCTGCTAGAAATTTCAATTCACTTAAAATTTGAATTTAGCTGAAATTATGAGCCTAGATAATATTAAAATATGAAATACAAGAAAAATGTAATGTCTACCCTATTATTGCCCATAAGCAGCTGAGATGTGCCAGAAATTAAAATAATATAAGGTCGAGTCAACAGTATATGTTTGGCAGATAAAATTATATAATTCAGCTTAAGAAATAACGCCATAAGTACAGAATTGCATAAACATTATTTTTTTAAACTTATGCATGTCGCATTTTGGCTTACATTACTAAATTATCTAACAATACAAAAAATATTTCTCCTTATTAAAAAATGATTTATAATTTTGTTTCATGTTTCAAAAATTCATTTGTTTGATATTGGATATGGAATATTTAGCAAGTTGACCAGATTTTACAAATTAATTCCCCTAAGATTTGAACATAAACAATCATGTTTATTAAATTATTGGTAAGAAAAATGTACTTTAGAAATAATAATTGCCAAAAAACAAATTGATATATCGTACAAGATTATGAAAACAATAGAATAAATTATTGAAGCAATTATGTTGTATAGTAAAATCAAGTGTGATATTGTTATTTTACTAAAGATACTATATTAAATTTTCTGAATTTCTTATACAGCTTATGCTAAGACCATAAATGAATCGCAAAGGCAGGACATCACATAGGATATTAAAAAGTATAGAATAGGAAAATAAAAAAATTCTGAACTTTTGAATTGTAGACGTGGGTACAGGACAACGTCTGTCGGGTCATCTAGTATATATATATATATATATATATTATATGTGTTTGTACCTCTGTACCCCACACGATTAAGTTTGTTTGATTTATATTCCTGAGTGGATTATAATTAAAACCAGTCCCAGGTTATGCCTTTATACATTAATTACAGCCATATATCACCTATCGAGTAGGAGATTGCAATTTGTAGCTTTGATGAAAAAAAAGTTCCTCAGGATGACTCGTAATAATTTATTTTATCAATATTTGATTACTCTATAGTGGTAATAATAATTATTCTTATGCGATAGAAAATTCCAACATGACTTTTAGATGATAAAACGTGGTTTTTATACTTGTTTACTTGTACGAAACAGGTTTTGACTAATTCGTTATTTAAAAACACATTAAATTTATTGATTTTAATTCAGACAAATTAAAATCCAATTTTGAGGTAATGAATCGCCTTAACACTTTTGGCTTGTAGATGTTTTTAGCTTAATTTGTTATTTGTTAATGAAATGGAAGCAAAATAAATTGAATGTTATGGAAAAATATTGAAGTAAATAGAATTCATTATAGATGTATATTAGTGTTTTGCTCAAAATAAGAAATCATTCGGAAATACAAGTAAAAAACAAATTTTTCTTTAAATACTGCTTCTACTTTGGAGTTTTGAAAACCATGTACGTTCCATCTTGAGGTCATCTATCAGGGTCTGCAAACCTTAGTCTCCAAAGTGGTTCAAAACAATTTTTATTCGGATTTTTATTAACAATAATAAACTTTTCGAATTGGAATTGGTCTGCTAATATGTATCCGCGAATAGATTATTCTTTATTGTGATAAGAAAATAGAAGTCGGTTAATTACTGTACTACAAAATTGCTTTAAAACTGATACTAGTATCTGAGATTTTGAGACAAAATTAATCTTTGGTAAGATACAGAAAAAATATATATTTTATTCATTACTATTCAATTTATTTGGACTCACTCATTGGTAAGTGGTTACAGACCTGAATCAAAGGTCCAGGATTCGTGGAGCCTGATGTCAAGCACTAATGACATCGGTTTTTACTAGGTAATATGGATATCAATAAGTTTCTAAATGCAAGTAGCCCTCATACGGCATTGCTGCATTAATAAAATATTTGCACTATTACGGAAATTGCAGAGGAAAGTCCCCGAGTTCCGGACACCTAAGGTTATTTATAAATAAATAAAAAAAATATTTCACCTTTCAATTGTATTTTGAAATGAAAAGATTTATAGTCGCTTAAATAATACGTGTTAAATAAAGTGTCCGACCCTAGGTGCCATCCGGCGTTACGGGACTTCCCCCTAATAATAAAATTTATTACATAGAGATGAGACAACTGTTTGGGTTGCTATTCGTGAAACCGAAGTAGTACTAAGTCAAAGTTGTCCAACAGCTTATAGGACTCTCTTGAAAAAATATCTTATTCATTTAACACCCACATATTGATCATATTTTTTTTTTCAGAATGTGAAACTGGATGCCTTATAATATATATTCCTCCTATATTCAGTTCCTCGTACATCAGAATCACACGATAGAAGCTAAAAGCATAATGCAAACCTATCGATATATAAACGCTCGAAACGATAGATATATCGATTTCATTGATCTTTGTTTTTGCATGTTCAATACTATCCGGAAATAAATATTTATATAATAACACACAAGGGTACTCTAAACTTTCAATGCACTGATAGAAAGAGAGCTGGAGAAAATTTAACCAGAAAACTTTGGTAAGAAATTGTCAATATCAATAAAGATCAGACAATAACCAATAGAAGAAAAGTCAAAGTTGATCAAATACCATAAGATAAAAGAACCAGCAAGAAGTAAGAAAAATCTGTTTAGAAAGTAGACCCATTAACTGTTTCAAGATGATTCTGACTAAAAGTGTTTCCAATATAATAAGCTTGCTAAAGACATCATAAATAAATGATACATTAATTAATATTTTCGTAGAGCATCAGGCTGCTTAAGCACTGGCCAAATAAATTGAAAATGAAGTAAAGAAAAATTAAAAACCAGGTGAAATACTCTGAATTTATGATCTTGACGTCATCTCTCAATTGACCCATTTTATCATAATAATGTAGATAACAACAAAGGTGGTAATAATTTTACTAAATCATCTTACATACATTTAG